CTAACTGTATGCACTGAAATTAGTTTGGGTCTGTATTCTGGTTCTCCTGGCTGGTTCAGAAATTCAAAGAACCTCCTGCTTGTGGTGAAGTAAGGATGTCATCTGTAGGACCCTGAGGTGTGACTGGAAACTTACCGTGACTTGTACAAAGGCATTGCAAACCTTTGCTTTTTTGTTAGCCTTACTTTAGCAGTATGTCCCCAGATTTCCCTTAATGCAGGCAAAAGCAATGCTTGGTTTTTAATCAGTCTTTGTTGTCATCTGATTAGTTAAACTAGCGGCTAAGCTGTGTTTGTGAGACTGACCATTTATTGAACCAGGCCATTTATTAATCAAGTAGAAAGAGACAGATTGTCAGTCATGACAAAAAAAGAAAAGCAATGCCACCTATTGTCAAAAACTGCATCTTCTTCCATGTGTTCCTTCTATAAAATGAAGGTGCTAAATGCAGGCAGTTGCAAGATTTACACTCCATCAACCACAAAATTTCCTCTGTATAATAAATACTGCTTCACCTGCCACTCCTCCAAAATATTCAAATCAGAGAAAACTACTAATGACAGATTTAACAGGCATCTACTTCCCCATTCCACACTTACATCAAGTTTTCCAAAGAGCTGGAAGTCATTAACATCCAGGGTAAACTGACTCACTTTCCCACTCTCTCTTTTAAATTGCTTCAAATGTTGCACTGGTCATGACAATACATGCATGTGTTGCTCAAAGAATATGTTCAGTAGGTTATACACACATACATATAAACTTACGTTGTTTTGTTTTTGTTTTTGTTTTTGTTTTTCCGGAGAAAAGTTTTTCTGTATAGCCTTGGCTGTCCTGGACTCACTAGAGAATAGGCTGGCCTTGAACTCAGAGATCCACCTGCCTCTGCCTCTAAGTGGTGGGATTAAAGGTGTGTGCCTCCACACACACTTGCTTAGACTAAACAAGTTTTTAAAAAGGAGGAAAAAAGGAAAGGAAGTCTGAAAATTAATTGTCTAAACACTCACACCATGAAAATAAATGGGGCATGGATTCAATTAAAGAACAAAAATGTAAATAAAACCAGAACTTAAAGGACATAAAAAAATAAATAAAATGGGCTCAATAAGAGCAAAATATAGTTACTTGAAAAAGACTATTAAAATTAATAAAGTACCAGGAGACATGCTTAAGAGAAGGGAGGGGACTGGAGAGATGACTCAGTGGCTAAGAGCACTGTCTATTTTTCCAGAGGTCCTGAGTTCAATTCTCAACAACCACATGTTTGGCTCACAACCATCTATACTAGAATCTGTTGCCATCTTCTAGCACACAGGTGTACATGCAGATAGAACAATCATATACATTAAATAAAATAAATTTAAAAAATTTAAATAAAGACAATGAGAAGACATAAATTATACTGGATATAAAAAGGAGAGAGATATCAATGCAGATCACAAGACATCTACAAAATGTGGAGGACATTAATTCTGGTTCAGTAAGTTGTTCAAGAAGCCTCTATGGGGCTTTCACATTCCTAAATGTCTCACTGGGGCTGTTAACATGCCAGACTCTAACCACTATTTTCTTGAGGTAATGTCTACATTAAGTAACCTGACACAGGGTGTTAATGTTTCCCTCCAGGACAAACAAAAATTAGCTTAGTGCTTGCTATAAAGGTGGAGGATTCTTTTGGCTCATTGCAGGTATAGCATCTTCTGGCTCTTCTATCACTTATATGGACTTAGTGGGCAAGAGGAACCAGTGAAAATAATGCTGGTAATGAGTCATGCTGCTTGTTTTCCTGTAAGATACTCAGATCCAAGACTTCTGTGTCTATTGCCAGCATCTGTAAATTAGGCTAATTTATTAGGGTAAGGTTAAAAACAAATGCTACAAGTAAATGAGACTTTTAGTGATGGTATCATCACACAAAAAAACTGATCAAATTTGTTCATCACTATAGCATCACTAACATGGTTCTGACAATAAACATCAGGGAGTATTCTGTTGGAAGCAAAGCTAACCTGATTTGGACAGCAATACACATTAAGAACTACCAGTTAAAAAATTATAAACCTCAGAGGAATACATGGGGCCAGCCCAAGGCTATGAGTCTAGACTCATTTGATACAAGGTGAATCAGTGCACTGGCTGAGAACTTAAGAGGATGACTTTGGAAATCTTCCAAATGTTCCAGGAAGATTGAGGATCTTAGTAAACTCCCATGTTTCTATATGACAGGAAGGAAGTCTGCACACACACAAGACATAAGAGAACTCAAGGTCTCACTGCATTCCTGGCCAGTCCTAAGTTTATGTTTATGCAGAAGCCCTCTGTACATCACTGGCTGAATGGAAAGCCACTGCAGCATATGGAAAGATAAAAGCAAGCCAGGGATGAAACAGCCTGAGTTTTGGATGCATTTCTTAGTCCATAGACATATACATCAGAGTAGTTTTAGAAGTCTGAAGTGTTTGAACACAGCCTTTGACTGGCTGACCACAAAGCTATGCTGGCAGAGTAGTAAGTCCTGGGAAGCCAGTAACATTTATAACACAAACATACACACACAAAAACGGTGGGAGGGGCAGATGAATTAAATAACAGTGTAAATATCAACAAGCATATCCAGGATCAAATTCAAAGAATAAAGCCAGGAGAGTAAATGAGACAAACATGCTGTATATGAGAGGCCTGGTATTATATTCAAGGGAGCAATTTAGAACAACAAAAAATGACAGCAGGCAGAAGTCTAGACCTTTATAACAGAATGAACAATACTGAAATCTTAACTAGAGCTGAAAAAAAGGGACTCTTAATAGTTTCCAAATAAAATTTACTTTGGAAACAAGATACGTATACCATAAATATACATAATTTTTATTATTAGTTAAAATGAAGTTAAATAGACATAAACATACTTTGAATAGTTAATTCAATAAAAGTTTTTTTCATATATATATATATATATATATGAAAAAAAATATATATATATATTCCATGCTACAACTAGCCAAACACTGGGTTGACTTTGCTAGTATCATAAAGGTAATGGCCATGTCATGATAAAGGAGTCAGCTAGTCAACAGCCCTAAACATGTGTTCATCAAATAGCAGAGCTTCAAAATAAATGAAGGAAAACCTGATAGGCTGCAAAGAGGAATATACAAGTCCACAATTACTACAGAAGGCAAACTGAATAGTTTTCTCTCAATAATCAATAAAATAAGTAAAAACTCAGCAGGAATGGATTTGATCACTCCCAGCTATTTGATTTGATAGTTATAAAACATTCTGCCCACCAACAACCACAGGTAAAAAATTTACCAAAATGGATTCTTTTCAGGCCATGACATAATTCTTAAGAAAGCTAAATAATTCAATTATTTTACTACCGTCAAATTAAATTAGGACTCATGAGATATCTCTAAAAAAAGTCCCAATAATTAGAAAAATAAATTATATTTTTTACATTGTTGAACCGTCACAAGGATGTTTAAATTCTTACTAATTCTCTGATGGCTTTAGATTTGCCTTTCTGGTACTGGTAATTTATATCCATCCACTTTATATTTCTTCCTGATTTAACTGCCTGAAAATTGTGTCAACTTTGATTTTTTCACTAAACCATCTTTTAATTTTATTGATGGGTTTTATAGTTTTGTGTTTTCTAGTTAATTCATTTCTGTTTTATATTTAACCTTACCTCCCTGGGTTTGTTTAGCTGGAAGCTGAGCTTGCTGAACCCTTTCTTTTTTCCTTACAGGCATTTAGTGTTATGGGTACAGGCAGTCAAAGCAAAACTAAGTGAAGGAAATCAGACTAAGATGTTTCTTCACAGCACAGGACACACTCAAAAGAATGAAAAGGAAAGCAATGGATAGTAAGAAAATCATCTGCAAAGCATTCACCTGAAAATGATAGCCCCTAATAATTCAATTAGAAAAATGGGGAGTCTTCTTTCCTCCCATCTTCCCTCCGATCAGACAAGAAATGGCTAACAGCAAAAGAGGAGGAGCTTGGTATCATTAATCATCAGAAAAATAAAAATTAAACCATGAGATCTCATTTGCATACTTACTCAAAGAAAATGCTATCTGTATTTTCTTCCCAAATTTAGAAACTCTAAGGTGAAAATCATTCAAATATTGCCTTAATTTTCAGCAAAGCTTAAAAAAAAAGGTATTTTTTGAGTTTTGTAGCAACAAGGGCTGGGACACACCATATATCTCTGAATAAGAAATGAAACCACTCAGTTACTGGCATAGTCATAGACCATGGGCATCAACTGTGGGGAACCAAAGTCCAACTCCTTAATGAGTGAACCTTTTCCTATGTACACTCTTCATTCTGTAGCACCTTTATGAGGTCACTGCTTCAGTAGTTTTGTTCCTGGAGGTCAGTCAGACTATTTTAACTTTTCAAACTTTTAGATATTATGTTGATGACATTCACATGCTTTCTTATCTGTCACATACTATGTGAGCCAGATTCTACTGATGACACAATAAACACATTAACAATAGAAAGGCCAAAAGACCAGAACTGGGGTGGATAGAAAGATACTCAGCACTTATATTCATGAAGTACTATCTATCATCTATCTATCTATCTATCTATCTATCTATCTATCTATCTATCTATCTATCTATCTATCTATCTATCTTTCTAACTAACTAACTAACTAACAACTAACTGACAGGGTCTTTCTAGGTAGCCCTGGATATCCTAGAACTCACAACAAAGACCAACCTGGCCTCAAACTCAGAGATCACTTTCCTCTACCTAGGATTAAACAGGTATGCTACCACACCTGGCTATAAGTAGCTTCATTAAATATTACTTTAGTAGGAAATGAGACATACTGATAAAATCAGTATTCAATGAAATCACTTGTGCAAGTTAACAATCTTGATTTAACTCAAGGACTCCAAAGACAAACTACTGAACCATGATTAAGCTATACTTAAAAAAAAAAAAAAAAAAATTAACACCATGACCATGACCACAGCAAGTCAAATAAAGGAAAAAATTTAATTAGGCCTGGCTTACAGTTTCAGAGGTTTAGTCCATTATCATCATGGTGGGAAACATGGTAGTACACAGGCAGACAAGATGCTGGAGGAGCAGAGTTCTATAACCAGATCAGAACACAGCAGAAAGAGAATGCCACAATGGGCGTGGCTTGCATATCTGAGACCTCAAAATAACACACTTCTCCAACAAGGCCACACTTGCTAATAGTACCTCTCCCAGTGAGGGTAATTTTTATTGAAATCACCACACTATGCCTTGCCTAAAAAATAGAAATAAAACTAGTTCATAGGGCAATTGCAGAGGACACATAATACTTTCAGTATAGCACAGTCCATTCATAGAGTTAAAGGTAAATATTTAATAAATGCCAGTCTGTGCACACTGTTATTTTTCCTTTCTGTAGAGTTCTGACTGCTCTTTGAGCAAAGGGTGGGGAGGGAAGGTGTGAGTCAACACTAAGTTGTAGACAATCTAGGTTAACTAGGGACCTTTTAGAGCAACTAACGGTGTTTCCCAGGAACACTCCCATTAAAGACTGTAAAGATGAACCCGAGCACTTTGACGCAAAGACAGATGGATCTCTGTCAATTCGAGGCTAGCCTGGTCCAGAGTGAGTTCCAGGACAGCCAGGGCTAAAACAGAGAAACTCTGTCTCAAAAACAAAACAAAACACCCAAAACAACAATAAAAAATATTTAAATGACTGTAAAGATGACAAATGAGGCTGTGGTTTGACCCTTCTTTATAATTTGTTTTGGTCAGTTCCGCCTCATAATCTTCATGAAATGAAAAATAAACACTATTGTTACAAAATAGTACTAGGAGCTGTGTGGTTTTGTTTTTTTGAGACAGCGTTTCTCTGTGTAGCTCCGGCTATCCTGAAACTCACTCTGTAGACCAGACTGACCTCACAGAGATCTATCTGCCTGTCTCTGCTTCCCAGTGCTAGTATTAAAGGATGCATATTATTAACAAAATCCAGCCTAAAACAATAGTAGGAACTGTGTATTTCTAAGGAGTTTTAGAAAAAATTAAATCCTGATAGAAACAAGTGAAGTCAGTTGGCTGATGTTTTTTTCCCCTTCTTTAATTTTACATGGAACTGATTGGTGCAATCCTGTGGAATCATCTTTAGAGAAAATTCTTTTTCTAAAGTAAACAAAAATTCTTTGAATTATTTATAAATTAACTTGTCTAATTTTTGAAAACAAAAGTCATTGTCAGTTTTTTTCTATTTAACCATAAATGGTACATTTAGAAACTGAAACAAAAAAAATGGATGGTACAGAGACATAAATGAAACCTTTCAACAAATTGCTTTTCAGTCCACTGTATTTTCAAAGGTGATTATTGACCCCAGAGGAAAAGTTATAAGCCAACTACATTTCTTAATAGAATAAAAGAATGTTTAGATTATAGTAAAGCAGTATCTTAAAACATATCTTTACCCAGCTGAAATTTTAGTATAAACTCATGTATCAAGTTGCTTTCCATTATTTACTCTACTTTAAAAATATATACAATTATGATATTCAAATATGCATTCAGTCATATGACCAAACAAAAATATTTGGGAAATTTAAACTCCTGCAACAGCTTATAAAGAATTACAGAAAAAGACAAACTATGAATTATGTCATAGGAGGAAAAAAAAAATACCTCATAGTATTTATGCATGGGTATGTGTTTTCTTATATATTCATACCAGTGAACAGATAGCTATCAAGATTTAGCTAGCTGGGAAATGAGACTAAATTCACACTATTTCCGAAAATAGGTAACTGGTGATTTCAAGTTTGACACATTTTCATTAAAAATGATTTATAGTAATAGTTTACTATCATGACATTTTGAGAGGCACAGATTAAATGAGGGCATTATTTATGCCAAACCTGGCAAATCCAAATCTGACTCCATTTAATTACAGTTTAAGTATTCAAAGAGTCCACTGGCAACCAGACATGACGTTTTATACATGTGCCATGCGTAGCAATCACATTGACATTGGTGCTTAAAACATTCACAGATAAGTAGATGGGACATTTAAAAAGCCATAGGACTTTAATACAAGAACTCAAAAGGCAACATCTGCAAAATCTTAAACTTCTCCTCTTAATCTGGAGTAGTGATCTAGTCTTCAAAAATCCTAAAAGGTTGAAGACATGTTTACCCCTACACTGTGACATCTGAAGTTTGTAAGCAAGACAACTTGAATTTATTTTTCTCTTGCATGCAGAAGTTTTTGCACGTGTCTATATGTGTGTGTGCATTTAAGACTGCTTAGAATTATGAGTTAACTTCTAGTCAGTGACGGTCATGTTACTAGAATCGCTAGTCACTGTCCCATGGTATCATTACTCATTTAGTTCTCATGACTTGTGAAGAGAGGCAAGGCTGAAAAACGAGTGCTATGTTTTTGTTTTTTTTTTTTCTTTTATAAACAGCATAAAAGCCTGCTTACCTATACAATTTCCATCATTTTGTATTCTATTCTGAATACTTGGATCAAAATCTCATTTCAAACAGCTTAATCCACACAAGGTACAAGACACAAACAGTACAAACCAATTCTAAGGATCTTTAAATAGGAAACATTCACTCCATTCTACATTTTAAATTGTAGAGCTGCTAATTAGAGACTGCAGAAACAAGACAAAAATGAAAAGAGTTTACTAACTTCTCAGTGCATCACATTGTGAGGTTAAAACATATGGCACTTATGTGATACTAGATCACAACTGGCGACCTAAGCTGGGAATGACTTGAACAAGAACTAGTTCACCAGAATGCTCAAACAACTCAGACCCTCCTTTCTTTATAAAAGTTCTGGAAATGCAATGACAGACAACTCATTAAAAAGGTTTCTATTCATTTACCGTATTTTAGTGTCTCATATTGTTTATCCTAGCAGTTACAACAGTCTGATTGTAAGTCTATTATGCTATTTTCTATGTCGTGGTAACATTTCTAAACAAATAACATATCCAGTTATAAATGATAGAATAAGAAAACAAACAAACCAAAAAACCTGTACACTTTCCAAACTAGCAAGAAATAAATTATATCATGATGTATCAATGAAAATTGTATCAATATTAACTAAAAGTTCTACAGTAGATTATTTTCCCCCATAAAATTAAGCAGTGCAGAATAGGGCTTGGCTACAGTTAATCACATTTGGTTTTCTTAAAAACACAACTTTATTCACTATAAACAATAAAAGGCAGTTTTCTTCCTCTGCAATACACATTAAATCTAAGATTTTTTAAAGTATCAACTACCTATTAAGAAAAGTACTTTTAAATGGTTAAAAGGAATCAGAATACCAAAGTTGAGTGTATGAAGAGTAGATATAAACCAAGAAAAAGTAGATCATTGGCGTTAGATATTTCATATGAATAGCTGCATTAAGGTCCAAAGTTTTTCCACCCTTACAAATAAAAAAGGTGTCCTCTCCCCATGGGGATGTGAACTGTACATCTCTCCCAACAAGTATGAGTGGGGTTTTAGAATGTTGCCAATGTTGTTCTTCAGTACCTAAAATTAAGAGGACAGTAATATTACAGCGGCGATGGTGCGTCTGAAAGCGTAGTTATGATCCAACACGAGTTGTGGTGGTTCTTTTATCTGAGAAAAAGCTCTTCAGAAGAAACACCTGCCCTATGCTGACCACCAAAAGGATGAGGGCTTCGCCCACCGACCAATAGGCCACTCTTGTGTTTAGATCCTCTGCTCGGCTTCGGCCTTGGGCCTCCCGCAGCCGGAAATGAGTCTGATAGTCGATGACGGACTTCAGAGCTTCATGAATGGAAACACAGGCAGATTCCATCTAAAAGAGAGATATTTTCAGTTACCTTGACACCTCCCATAGCTCTACCTAGCACATTCTTCTGCAATGTCTTCTTTCTATTCAATACACAGAGGAACCTGTCAATTTGTCACTAGCTTCATTCTGTTGTAGTGAACTGGTACTCTCTCTTTTTCACTCATACCAGCTGCCCTAGCAATGAAGTTCTTCTACTCATTCCCCTGGGTCAACTACTAATACAGGTCTATGTTTTCCCCAAACCAGGACACCACAGTTATGGCACTACCAAAGTGGTAGACAGGATACAAAATAACAAAAGTGAGCATTTTTATTAGTTAAGAGTTACAAGCTACTAAATTTTAAAAAAAAGTTCTTAAGAACTAGAAAAATATAATAGTGGGTTAGTAAGTCCACTAATAATGGGAGCACAAGTAAAGCCAACATACTACAAAAATAAATGGAATATAGTAAAAGAACCAAAGCTATCTGAAACTTATATAAATAGGCAAAATATCAGAACCTTTAGCTAACTTTTGAATCTGAAAATGATAAAGAGATGTTCTTTATCCTCCAATTTCTTTTATGTGTATGAGTGTTTTCCATGTATGCATGTGCACCATGTGCATGCCTAGTGCCACAGGAACCTAGAAGATGGCACTGGATCTCCTGCATCCTCTGAAGTTACACAGAGTTGTGAGCCACCACATGGGTGCTGGGGAGCCAAACCTGGGGCCTCTGAAAAACAGTAAGTGGTCTTAACTGCTGAACCATCTCCCTAGCACCAGAGTGACCTTTTCTAAAAAGTGATCTCCACTTAACATATCTCTTGTCATGCTAGTAATTAAACCAACATATACATTCCCAGTACATTAAAGTTCCAGTATCATTGTCAAGTTGGCTTTTGAGCCTACAACATGGATGACATTTTACCTTTTCGTATGTATTACCTGATCTAAAATGGTTATCATATAACACACACACACACACACACACACACACACACACACACACACATATATATATGGCAAGGTTTAATATTTTACTGTTGAAAACCAAACCCTTGCAACAAAATGCACAATTCTTATGTAACAAACCATGTATGAAAAATTTAAAAAGAAAATCTACTTTTTCTTAATTTAAATTTAAGGCATACATATATTAGGAAATAAACCGATTAATGAAATTTTACTGCCAGGTATGCATGCCTATACTATGAGTACTGGGTAAGTTTTGGCAAGAGGATCCAGGCTTAAGTAGACCAGCCTGGACTATGTGGTGAGTTGCAGAGTAGCTTGGGACTACAGAACACAACCTTCCAATGGGCAAGATAGCAATCAATGTGGAAGAATCCCTTGGATTATGTCAACAAGCAGGAGTTAATAACTGCTGTACTGGAAAAAAAAAAATCACTCAAATTAGGTTAAATTTATTCCTATCATTTTTAAGATGAAGATTTATTTTTAAACCCTTAACGTAAAAACTTTCATATACCTTCAAAGAACAAAACAGTGAGTCCTATTATTAACTCATGGCTAATATTGTTTCATCTTTATTTCTAGTTTCTTAATGAAAACTAGGGCAATTCTTAAGATTTTTTTTTTTTCTTACATGTATAAGTTTTTTCTGCACGTATACATACCCACCACAATGCTTTTTGCCTCAAGGCCAGTCAGTAGAGGGAAGCAGGTCCTGGTAACTAGAGTTACTGACGGTTGTGAGCCACTCTCTGGGTGCTGCGAACCAAACTTGGGTCCTCTACACATTAGCAAGTGCTCTTAACTTCTGAGCCATTTCTCCATCCCTATTTAAAGCCTTTCTACAATACATTCCTTCACAGCTGAAAGAAAATGCTTTAGAACACTGCAACTGCTTGGCTTTTCTACTTTTCTTTACAACTCATGTTTCTTATCTTAGTGGCTAACTCCTCAGTGTCCCAAAAGACCATACGCTAAAGCACTGGCCACCAGCCTATGGAGGAGACAGAATCTTTGGGTGACCAAGCCTACTGGGAGGAAGTTGGAGGCATGACCCTGAAGGGTTTAACCAGGATACCTTCCTCTCTCTTTGCTGGTGTGAAGGTGAGTACTCCTGGCCATGACTTCTCTATAGGCTAGCTGACCAGAGTGTAAAACCATTACCAAAATAACCATTACCAAAATAACCCTTTCCTCCTGCTAAATCAATCATCTTCAGCTCTATCACAGCCATGAAAAGTTAGCTGTGAATTCCAACCTATGACAATGCTTCTTTCTTTCTTTACACTTAGGTGGTTCATAAAATTTTTTAACACCGGATTTCATCAAAGAAGTCTCAAGTTCTCTGCCAACAATTTAGATTTTTAAACAGCAACAAAATTCAATGTTCAGCTGGAAGTGAATACATAACATTAAATTATGTACCCCTCCCTCTTTTAATCAATTCTCTTCTGCTCTATTTTTTTTTTTTTTTTTTTTAAATTTACCTGGGTAAGGGCACTGACTCGGTTCTCACTGGGAAACAAAGGTGGGTCTTCTCCAACTTGAAAATCGAAATACACAGTTTTGTGTGTGAAAGTAGAAAACTCATTGCTGAAACAAAACTTGTATGTCCCATTTTTGGAGGCTGTGAAAGTGAAACTATCATACTGTTTCTTCATCTCCTTGTATAACACTTTACCATCAGGATCTTCCAATCGACAATCTACATCATAGTGTCCACCAGTAATCACCTGTAAGAGATTTACAGAGAGATCACTGCAACTAACACATTAAAAAAAATTAACCAAGTTTCCTGCTAAAAGGACAATAAGGCTATATGCAGAGGTTTTCTTATCACAATTTCATGCACTCTTGATTTTCACCACTGAATGAAACACAGAGTTAAGATTTCAATTCAACTAAAGTTTTACAGAAAGTGCAAAGGTTCCCTCCTAACAGGAGAGAGGAAACTTAATTCTACCAACCATTCAGACAACTGTGCTGGTTGAAATAGCTCTTAGCTTTAACCTAGCAGTTACATTAAAAAGAAGATGAGAAGAGAGAACAGTTTTAGCAATCTTCACGAAAGTGGATGGTACAGTCTTGTTATTTTCAGGCTTTAATTCTCTTGGTTAACAGAGTATTGACATTGTATATCAGCAAAACAAAGAAGTCAAAAAACTATTTTTTCAAAGGTCATATTACTTCTATGACCTTTTGTCACTTGAGATGACTAATGAAATTATGTTACAAGATCATTTCAATAATTAACTGACATGTAATTTTGTACTTAGAGAGCTGTATATTGTACATATATGCACACATATATAAGTACAAATATGAATGATTGAATGACTGACTACTTTGGATTAAGACTAGGGTCTTGCACATGCTAAATAAACATTGTATCTCTAAAGCTACATCTCTAGTATGTTTTTGTTTTTTTATTTTTTGAACACGATCTTGCTAAACTGACCAGAATGACCACAAACTTGTTTTGGTTGTGAGCCTTTTTAGCTGGTAAACTGTTTCCAGGCAGCCCAGTTTATTTTATTTATTTTCTTGCACATTTATTGCTTGATTGATTGATTGATGTTTCTCTGGGTAGACTTGGCAGCCCTGAAAAATCACTCTGTAGACCATGCTGGCCTTGAACCCAACAAGATCTGCCTGCCTCTGCCTCCTGAGTGCTGGGACTAAAGGTGTGCGCCACCACCACCTAGCCAACTACAAACTTGTAATCTACCCCTTTAGCTCCAAAGGAGCTAGGACTTCATGTGTGCCTGCACACATAGCCAGATACAATGGTTTGAGGCTACAGTTAAAAAAGCATTTTATAAACTGAGCACTTACCCTGCTATCTAAAAGTAAATAACCTTTTCCCAAGAGAAAAATGCCTTCACTCCAATATATCTAGATGTTCATACCCTACTACAACACTTTGAATACAACAAATTGAAAAAGACCAGAATCAATTACTAGCCACATTTGTTCCATCAAATTTTAAAACAAGCTATCTATTTTTTAGTTAACAATACCTCTTCTAAATTTGTCTGGTCACCTACAACTGGAACTAGGTATCCTCTCACACTCAGCTTTTCCCACCTGTCCACAAGCTCACAGCACTTTTTGATCATACTAAGTCTTCCATTAATAATCCATTACATACTATACTCCCAAATGCCTAAAAGTTCCCAAACCTAACCCCCTCTAACTGGGGGGGGGGGGGGGGGTAACCTGGTAGCAGGGGGTGTATTAGCCTCCCTGCAATCTCAGTGTGTTAGATGGCAGTTGCAGGACTCCACAACCTGCAATTTCTCCTTGTGGGGTAGGGAGCACCTTATCTTTTTTTCATCCTTTAATTTAAAACAACTCACTTAACGTCTTTTGAAAACTCACTATAACCCATCAAAAGTCTAGATCTCTCATTACTAGCACAACACTACCTTGGATCACCTCAAAGCCTCAGGCGGGTCCATATCATCGTTTCAGACTTCAAAAGCTCTTGGCCTTACACTTGTACTGACAATGGGGTTCAGCAGATTTTATTTGCCAAAGACCTAAAACTACAATGTTCATAAATCTAGTTTATTACAAGAAAATGTAATATAAAACATCATTGCTAAGGACTATCTCATAGTCAGGAATCTGGAGAGATCAGGTATGGGCCTTCTTTGCTCTCCCTTTTTGAAGCCTGGGCCCAATGTACTTTCTGTCAGATCTAGACCATTCTAGTGTGCAAAGAACATCTTGAAACCAGGAACCCCAGAGCTGAATTTTGTCTGTACTGTCTTCTGGTCATATAGGCAAAAGTAACTAAACTTATGAGCAGAGCTCTGGGGCAGGAACTAGGCTGAGGGGAATCAAAGACACAAAGTACAAATCTTGCTGTTACAGGAAACAGACAGACAAAAAGACAAACTGGTCCTAAAACTTTCAGCCTCCACAGCCACAAAGTAAAACTATTCTTAATACTCCAGTGTCACCTCCTCAAACTTTAGCATAAGAGCTCAAACTAATGTTAAACTCTCACAAACTTAACTGTCTTGTGTACCCTTTTCTCTTCTGCCATACTCCAGAACAAACCTTACTTATCCTTTTATGTGTAGCTCAAACATCAGCTGCTCCACTCTATTTCCCCCGTTAATCCCTTTGCTCACTGCCAGCATTCTGCCTGTGTGAAATTTTCTCATGCACTTACATACAGAGTGTGTTAAGAGGTAGTACAACAAGAGTTCATCTTGAGACCATCATTTCTATTACTTTTAAGTATAGCTATAAACCCAGCTTGGATTCTGTTACACCAATCAAAAGGAATGAAAACGCTTCTCTATTTCACCAGTTTTCTAGAGATTTAACTAACATATCTGAAGCATTTGGCATGCTGTATTCATGACAGGTTTTTTTTTTTTTTTAAACCTGTTAATAGCACCAAGCACTGTATGTACAGATAGGAAAATTCGAGAAATGTATATAAAATTTAAATAAGGAATATTCTGTCTTGCAGCTTATAATTCCTTTGTGATTGTATTTTGGAAACTGATACACACTTATGTTTTTATTTTTGATTCTTAGGCTCCTCTCCCTCCCTCACCATGCCCAAATTATTACGAAGGCCTGCTGATTTTACCTTTCGGCTTTCTCCTTCCCACCCATACCAACGCTATTATCGTGCATGTTGAGTGCAGGTGCCAGCGGAGGGTAGAGGTGTTAGATCTCCCTGTAGCTCCAGTTACAGGTGACTGTGAGCCAATTAGCACTCGAGTTGCTGGAATGTTAAATGAGCTTATGAACAAAAACCGGTAGACTGCTTTAACTACTTACGAAATCACAGGGATGAATAAGTTTTTGTTTTACACTGTCGCAAAACTGAGAAAGGGCCCCTTGTTTATCACAATTTTTTACAACACCCTTGACAGACGGGGGAGGGGTGTCTTTAAAAAAAAAAAATCCTCTAACAAAGCGCTTTCAACCACTACTTGAAGTAACGAATACTCTCGGTGCCACACAAGAATAACCTAAATCCAACCCAAACCCCCAAAAGATTAAACTGGAGTTATGGATTATATGAGAACTTATCCTGACCATTCGTGCGCAGGGAAAGCCTTTTAAAAAGGAATCATTTCTTAAAGAAAGTTATTTAAATAACGCTTAAATTCAATGAAGGGCACCGGAGAATGTTAATGCCACACAAACGAGTTCTCTCTCTAGAAGCTCCGAAAAGAAAAGCCGAATGTCCTGCATCCGCTCCCGAGGTGACTCTTACGTTAGCCAACCAGAAGCTGAGGCCCGTGTTACCTGGAACTCCAGGGTGCACTTGGTGCCCTGAATGATGTCCTCATAAAAGCACTGCTTGGCGTTGTCCGGGAGCTCGAAGGTGATCTCGGAGGCGCCGCTCGGGCCCGGCAGCAGCAGGAACAGCAGCGCAAGCAGCCTGCAGCCCCAACGGCCCGCGGCGGCCGTCCAGCGCGACGCCGACCCCGGCAGCGGCATCCCGACAGCCTCAACGGAGCTGTGGGGCTTCACCTCGCGCGGCAGGCCCGGCCCCCACCGCCCCGCGGGCCTCGGCGAAGCGTACGACGCGGGGCGAGGGAAGACTTCCGGAGAGTCGCGCTGAGGGGCCGGCACCGCTCCGGAAAGACCTGAGACGCCTAGCGTAGAGCCGGCAGAGGAGCAGAAGAACAGGCCTCGCTGACCGGAAGTGTAGCAGGAGCCTGAACGGAAGGGGCCGGAGCGGGCCGTCTCTAGCGACCCGGATGTGATACCCCGGGGACGGGGCGTTGGAGTGAGTACGTGGAAGCGCGTGGGGCCTCGGCGTTGCGAGGGGCGGGACCTGCGCCGGAACTGCGCAGGAAGGGGCGTGGCCCTCCGTTGCCTAGGGAGGGCGCGTGGTCTTGCTGCTCGCCGAGCTGTGACGGAGAGGGGGTTCCGCTGCATTTTGTCGCTGTGAGTACTGCGTTTGGGGACGCTCCGAGGGGACTCTGGAGGGCTTAGTTTGGGGGCTGGGGGGACTAATCACCTGTGGTAGAGAACATGCTAGCTTGCAGGAGCTTTTCTGACAAATTATAATCGTATTTGGATGAGGCAACATAGGCAAAAACCCCGAGTTTCTAATCCCTGCTCTTTACCCTCCGGCCCGCTTCCCCGACCTGGGATGCTAAAACTCCCCGCCCTAGTCTATATAGTGCTAACAGTACTGCCTAAAAATAAGTGCCGGTTATTATATGAGTTCATTATCTGGAAAAGGCATTTAGAAATGTGGCTGGCACGTGGTAAGCACTAGCTAAGTTCCGTTAAATAAAAACAAACATCTCTTGAGTGCCCCTTTATCCTTTCCCCACCCCCACTTCAAACAATAAATGCTGTTGTGTCTATTTTTACTGATGAGAGTTAAGGATCCAACAACAGCAAAGTTACAAATTTGCCTCTGATCAACATGGCGTTTCTTACGGGCCATTTATAGTTTTCCCGGGCGTGTAACGGGAATCAGGTGGGTTTTTCTTGTTGTTGGTTGTTTGGTTAGTTTGTTTGGGGTTTGATGTTGTTTAAGAAAAAGGCAGAGGTGGGCTCCAGGCTGATGAGGATTAGTAGGGGGTTTTATGAGACGGAAAGAGCAGGCACGTGGGAGTGAGGCAAGGCCCTGAGGGTTGGGTGGGACATATAAAAGAGGAGCTGAACGTCTGCTCTGTAGCCTGGGGCACCTAAGCTTCTGTGTTAAAAGGGAAGGAGGTCTGAGGTTACAGTCTTTTCGTTTCTTCCAGACTCGGGAGACTACACCTTCCTAAGAACCAGGCCAGAAACAGAATTATTTTGTTGGTGAGTGAAAATAAATCTGAATTTGACAGTGAAAAATATATTTTATGTTTTCTAATTGTGATATTAGGCAGCAATAGTTCCTTTGGTGGGGGGAAGGGTTTCTCTGTAGTTCTGGCTGTCCTGGAACTTGCTCTGTAGACCTGGGTGGCCCAAACTCATAGAAATCCACTTCCTGAGTAGGCATGTGCTACCCCGAAATAATGCTCTTGTAAATCACCTCTGAGCTGATAATGTTAGCTCACCAGTAGAATTTGTCCAAGACCCAGGGTTGAGCCTAGAGGGGATGGGGGGGAGGGACACCACCTTTATTCATAAGTTAACAGTAAAAATAAGCAGAAAAGAAGGAATAAGATTAAAATCTCAGTGCAGTATAGAGGAAGGAAAGGGAGGGAGATATAACTATCAACGAATAAAAGTAATTGAAAAATTACAGGGCACTCTTCACTTGATAGGAAAATTTTAAAGTTTATAGCAATGCTAGTGCACTGGTAGTGGAAATGTAAAAGGGGGCAGCCGCTTTGGGGTAAGCCTAACCTGTAATAAAGTGGAAGATATATGTATGTTATGTAATACATGTTGATTAAAACTGGAATGAGCTAATAGCAAGACAAAGCTATATTATATAAATGCGGGTTTGTTGAGAGCAGTGGGGGAGGGGACCCCTGGGTAGGGAGGAACAGAGAGCACAGGAAGGGGGAAAAGGAGGAAAGGGCGATGTAACAAAGTTGTCTGGATTATATAGTGAAGGGCCTTTAATAGAAAACCCCACCCCTAGGTAGAAGGAAGGGTATGGTGGCCATACTCTTGCAGGTAGGGACTTTTAACAGATAAGGGCTGGAAGGTTCACTTCATAATCTTATACCATACTCTACATACACATGTACATGCTGTACATACATACATATTTTGTACATACTTTGGAGCAGTAATTTTCAGAGTATCTTTTAAAGACCCCTGGAGGATTCTGAAAATCTTTCAGAAAGTTTATAGTTGAAGGCTGTGTTTTTATTGTTTGTTTGTGGGTGTGTGTTTGTGTTTTTTTTTTTTTTTTTTTGAGACAGGGTTCTCTGTGTAGCCCTCCTGGATTTTGTAGATCAGGCTGGCCTTCAACGGCACAGCAATCTACCTGGCTTTGCCTCAATTTCTGGGTTTAAAGGCATGCACCACCATGCCTGGATCAAGGCTGGGTTTTTCATGTTTTAACCAACACAGAATAGCAGATTAAAGGGGGGCACTCAGGGTTTTCTATGAATCTAGATTTATAAAAATATAAAGCAATATCTTTCCTGTAAAAGTAACTTTTATTTGCCTGATTTAATTTGGGGGCTTATTGCCTCCATCTACTAACCTAGGCCTAGTCTTGGAAGTTTCTAGCCTCCCTACAATCTAATCTAGGCCTAGAATGCTTTCAGTTTCTGAGACAAACTGGTGAATATGTTTACTCTTTCCAGCTCTTTCTGAATTCTGGCTGGCTGGTTCAAAATTTCTCTTCAAGCTGACTGATTCAAACTGGCTTCTCTTGACTTCTGAATTGCTGTGCTTGGCCTCATACTAACTTTGGCAGTGTGTTCTGGCACCTTCTCATTTTCTGGCTCGCTTTGTCTTCATCTGTGTCTAGCTTGTTCTGTCTTCAACCTCTCTTTAAAACTTCCTCTCCTGACCCTCTCTGTGCTTAAGTAGTTTCCTATTCCTCTCTCTTCTGAGAGTTGGACACCTCTTATTCTGTCAAGCCTTTCTCTTGACTCATCACTTTTTCTGCCACTCAATCAGACATCACTTTGAAACATGGCTGCTTCCTTCTACAAGCTAACTTTACTTTCATTGGTCGGGATTAAATTAAAGGTGTGTACCACAACTCCTGGACTTAAGCTTTTCTTTACCTGAAACTGCTCTATACCAGGCTGACCTTTATTTCAAGATCTGTTTATCTTCTGTCTCTTGGGATTAAAGGCAAGTGTCACCACTGCCCAGGGTGTCTTTATTCAAGCCAGATTACACAGACCGATGTGATCTCTGGCCAGAGCAGCCATGTTCTGAATTAAAATTCCTCTACACTTTCCTGTCAATGAGTTTTCATTTGGAAGATGTAGTTACACTTTATTTTAAAATGTGTTGCCTGTGTATAATGGGTTAAATTGTATCCATTCAGACACAGTTCTAAAGCCTTATTTTCATAGCTGTGAATAACACTTTATTTGGAAGTAGAATTTTTGCCATTGTAGTTAAATTAAGGGTCTCCAGAAGAGATTATCCTAAATTTAGAGTGAGCCCTAAATGCAGTGAATAGGCAGAAGATATCAGATAGAAGAGAAGATTGAAGAACATAAAAGCACACACTTTTTGGAGTGGTATGTGAACAAGCCAAGGAACATCAAAGCTTGTCCATAGTCATAAGAAGCTCTGCCGAACATCCAGAATTAGTTAATACCTTCATTTCAACCATCAGGGAATATGTTTTCATTATTTCTAAGCCACCAAGTTTTTGGTTATTTGTTATAGGATGTAACACACAAGAGTTTCATGGATTGTTCTCTAGTAGAAACTTGTCATATATAGCTCATACGTAAGAGAATGTCAAATAAATCCAATGTTCATCACTGTGCAGCAATGTGGAGGACAGTAGTTGAGATCAGATGCCTTCTATTGCTCTCTACTTTGGTTTTTTGAAACATGTCTGCCTCCCTAGCTCTGGGATTACAGGTACAGACCACTCACCTTTGCTTTTTGTTGGGTCTGGGGACTCAGGTCCTTGTGCTTGTGCCACATGCGCTTCACCAGCTGAGCCATCAGCCTGGCCCTTTTTCATAATTTCTGGTTCAAGAGCTAGACAGACAGACACTAGAAATCTGAATTCCTAAATATCTTGAGTTGTGATTTTTCCTACAATAAATTTGAGGTTCAAATTTTGATGTGTGTGACAAACCTACTTGATACTGAATAGAGAATAGAGTCACAAGGAAACCTAGTGGTTGTTTAGTTGCACAGATTACATGTATTTCAGGGAAAGAGAAGAGGGCCACTACTTTCAGAAGCTGCCAACTAATGTCTGAGATGACAACTACTGAAGAAATTTGTAGAGGCGGGAATTCAGTCACTTACTAGATGGTCATCAGAAAGTCAGACCATTTTGCGCATCTCGATAGAAGTTCCTCAGGATGGCAGAGTTAAGATTTGGATTATGAGCCTGATATTTTGGGCCAATATTTTAAATCCATATTTGGAAGGTTTTGAGTAATAAACTGGAAATGAAAGGTTTTCTGGAAAATCTCATCTCCCTAACAGCCTTGTGGCCACCAGGTGGTGGTCACTTGCCAGATTTCTGCCCAGGCACAGCCGCTGCATTGTTCTGCTTTAGGAGATTCACAGGTATAACCTAGCTGAATCATTTGAGCAGAACTTGCTAGACATCAGAGTAGCAAAAGGGAGCATGAAATGTTATCAGGTAATGGAGAAAGAACACTAACAGCTGCTTCTAGAGAATAGTGATGAAGAATTTAAGTTTTTCCCTAGGGCAGTAGAGAACCATCAAAGAAATTTAACCATGAAAGGACCTAATTAGAGTTCTGTTGTTAAAAACATTCTGCCTGCAATAAGAAGATTAAATACAGGTATACAAATATGGAAATAAGATTAATCTGTTTAAAAAAAGGTCATCTGCAAAAATACTATATTGGTAGTGGCTGATGAGGTAACTGATGGCAGTGTGTCTGTTGATACAAGTTGACTGGTGGCATGTGAGAGGTTGCTAGTTAGCATAGAGGCACTAAAAGACTAGCCAGCTTTGACTGGCTATAGGTAGGGCTGCTAGTGAGAACAATGTGGGCCAGTAGCTGAAGCAGAAAAATACTGTTAACTAAAGGAGACTAAGGCATCCTTTCTTGGAGAAATGTAAGGTGTCATTCTATAAATGATCCCCTCTATTT